ACCCCCCCCCCCCCCCCCCCCCTCTACTTCCCTTCTCAGACTATCCTTTCCCCCCCTTTTACCCGCGCGCGCGCCAATCCCGCTCTCTGATCGTACAGAGAGCAGCGCACGCGAAGCACAAGGCGCCTTTCGACGACACTGCGGGCATGCGGTCCATTTTGACTGGTCGTTTGAGCAGATGTCGACGGTGTGGCTGACGGGGTTGTAATGATAAATATACGAAGGGTTTGGTGTGATGGTGGCAATGGGGGGTGGGCACTCGTCATGTGCGAGCAGTGCGATTGCAGCGATGCATGGATAGGTGGGTAACACGAAAGGGGGAAAGAGAGGAGGGGTGAAGGTGGGCGATTGCGTGACTGGAGGAGCGTGTGCGATGAGCATACTGTGGCATAGTGTACACGTTGGGGCAGAGAGAGATGCATTGTGACAAGTATGGTTAGATGTCATGGGGAGCGTTATGAGTCATACTGCGGGGGCGGTGCGAGAGGTGGAGAGAAAATGCAGCGCGTTGGATACTGTACGAGGAGGATGAGCATTGTAGTGTAGTGATGAGAAGAAAACGGGGACGGGTTGTCCGTCAGAAGAGGCGATTCGCCATTGGGTGCGCGGTGGCCCACCCTTCCCTTCGCCCATGCCGATAGTTGGCGAATATGAGCAGGACGAGATGTCGGGGGCAGAGACTGAGCGGGGGGTCAGGTTTATTTTATGGCTTTTAAGCATCAGCGGGACGAGATGTCGGAGGCAGAGGCTGGCTGGGAGGTCAGTTTTATGAATGGTAGTGATACGACAGGTAATTCGAGTTTGGCAATGCCAATGGGGACGGATAGTTGGTGCACTCAACCCCTCTCGGTGTGTGAATGAATCGGGCGGATGTTTGAAGACGAAAGGGACTTACGTGCGGGGTTTCTCTTCTGTATGCTGGTGAATTTAGAAGTGTCCTTGTGACGCAGCAACCCGGAGCAAACTGCAGCCGGCATGATGCGATCATTTGGTGGGAAAGGGAATAGATGATGCAAATGTGAAAGAGGGAAGCGTAGGGTATTCCGTACTGGAAGTACGGCAGTCTCCTTCCGTTTGGTAGAGTATAATATACACTGTATATTATACAGTACATACAGTATATGGACATTCTGCAAATAGAATGGACGGTGGTGATGCGAATGCGGAAGAAGTGTGGCAGGAATACTTTGGTAAGGTTTTAATGAATATTGGGAAAGACGGGATGCATGTGAGAGGGTTGCGTGGCACGAAGGGAAGGTGTTGGTCGCGGTAAGGGACATGTCCCATGTGATTCAAAAATTAAACAATTCAGGTTACAAACATCGTCCTTTCAGTTACGGTAAAGAAAAAAGGGAGCCCTGGTTGATCAAAAAGCTGCCAAACAGGTAGAGAGTACTATTTTGCTTAATTCTGTACCTGCGGCGGCGGCGGTGTAGCAGTATGGATGTTGGCGAATGGTGTTGTGTGATGCGGGGGCGAATGGGCGCGGAGAAAGCGGAGGCTGGAGGGTTTTGAAATCAAGTCGGAGTCTTTATCGTACAGTATGTGGGGCAAGCAGTAACGCGTTAAAGCGCGGACGTTTGTGTGCTCGTGCGCTCGTACGTGTGTGGTCTTCATGGTAGTGCGATGCGGTGTCTCTGTGAAGAGGAATGTGAAGCAGGCGGTTGTATGGCAATGTGAGTTATCACGTGTAGTGACGATGACCAAGCGATGCTTTTTCACGGGGATTAGGGGTTTTACGTCGGGCAGATACGCATTGCATGTTCCCGATTGGGTGAGGCGGCAGCTGCTCCCCCTGCCAGGTCGATTCGTCTTTTCGCTGCTCACTATTCACCACTGCCTCCTTGCTCTTCAAAACCTTTCGCCCCGCATGCACAGCGTCCACAACGTGTCACACTACACACATCTGCGCTATGGAGCTCGCAAGAGCACGCGAGACGGCGGGCTGTCCGTCAACCGCAAGCAATCAAAGCAGACGGACACACCTGGACGCCACCTGCACAGGCACCGCGCGACCCCTGTGCCACGCCGCGCCCATTCGCGCTGGCGGCGGCCCGGCCCGGCCGCGCTGTCCGCACAGGCGAGCGGGAGCGAAGCGGCGAAAAGAGAAGCGACTCGCGCCGGGCGGGATCGCGAGAGGCAGCGCGGCGAAGGGCAAGCCGAAGGGCGGCTGAGAGTTGTTCCTCTCAGCCGGCGCATGTCTGGGCACCGCAAGCAAACCACTCACGGAGCGCGCGGGGAGGGGGCGAGGCATCACTGGGGGCGATGATCCGACGTTGCATCCTTCCGTGTGGCGGGGCCGCCGCCGCCATCCCGTCGCGCCGCTGTACGCGCGCGCGGCGTCAGCAGCGTCTCGCGGGAGCATGCCATGTGAATTATCGGTTGACGCGGGCAATTGTTGCTTTTCGCCGCCTCACGCGACCGATGTCATCACATGTTTGACAGGTGACATCAGCGCGGTCGGTTATTGGCACGCCGCGCGCTTTTAAACCGCGTTTGAAAAGGAGGAATAAATCGCCCCGCGCTTCTTTTCTTGTTTTCTTGTTTTCTTGTTTTCTGCCGACCTGCTCGTGCTGACATGCTCCTCGTAGTTGATCCTCGTAGTTGATCCTCGTAGTTGATCCTTGTAGTTGACACGGCGTCGCATCCTTGCGCCTCGTTTGCCATCCCTACAGTATCTCCCCCACTAGTGCCCACTCTTATCTTGACGTACGCAACTTATCTCTACACTTTCCCGTCACGTCGTGCACGCGGCCGTGTGTTGTAGTGGACCAGCGCGCAACTCGCCCCCTCTCCCTTTGAAGCGACCGCCAACAAACAGGAGCAGGCCGGCCTGCGCAACGCCAAACATACAGTGCCCAGTCCACCCCGTTCCAACTTTTACAAAACGCCCTTCCTGCGCGCGCCGTCTTCCTCTCCCGCCGTCCTTCGCCCGCCCGTTGGACGCAGCCACAACCATCCCCTCCTCCCTCTCCCGCATGCATCTCCTCCGCCCCGCCGTTCCTCCAGACCCTGCCCCAGACTCCCCCGTCCTCGCGCCGGATATACGCATCCACATACGCTTCCCCCGCGTACCGACAGACATCGCCCCGCGC